TTTTGATCGTTAGGTGAGCCATTTGCTATCATCATTGAATCCTCACTTGTATCTGAATTATACATATCTGAAAAACAAAAAAACGATTTGCAAATGAACATACGGAAATGCGCATTTAATAAAATTATATACAAATGCATATACAACAATTAGACCGAACTTCATTTACGTCTAGAAACGCCGGCGCGTCTAGAAACGCCGGCGCTACTGCCCATAAGGCAGATTCCAAAGAGCCATGAGGCTTCTAATGTTATCATGTCATCAGATTATAATTCTATTTAATTCATTCATTGAATTCAAATGTTGAGTGACTGCTGCTGATGGATGGGCGAACAAAAGAAAGTCTATATAGTATATACATTAGGTTTCCCATCGACATCGCTTGTTTTGAAAATTTAATTTGATTTTTATAGATTTTTTAAAGGCCATTTAGAGGTCGCAGCCTGTCGATTTAGGTCAGAAAATACCATTTTCTAGATTCATGAGTTTTTGAATGACTATTTTTGCTTGAATTTCAAAGAATTTTTTAAATTTTGACCATCGATAATTTCCACAATTTGAAAATATGTAGTACTAACGTACAAAAAAATGATTTTCGATGGGCACCCTAATATACATACATCTCTATGTACTCTACAAATCCATATGTACTATTTCAGTTCAAAGAAATAAAAAAATTTAAAGGTTAAGTTATTGGGGTAATTTATGTCGCTATCAACAAATTTTTGCAATAAGCTTATCAACCGTGCCTACGATTTTTTGCGGGTTATATATTGAAAATAAGGTTGGCCTACTTTTTCCAAAAGTTTAACCCATCAACTCCCACCAGAACGGGCCTTTTTGACCCACTGTTTGAAAAATGGCTTAAAAATAGTTAAAATTTCCACTACTATGTTAAGCGCCAAATCTTTCTAAATAGAACAGAATGTAATGCAAAATAATAGTAATTTTTACCAAAAAGGGGCACTTAAACTCTGTGTAGAAAATATTGCGATGCGCGGGAGCAAAACCTTCCTGGGGTTTAACCACTACTTAGGAATACTAACGTAATTTTCACACAGCCACCTAGTTCTTGTATATGTACGTCTGTGGGACCCCCGAATAAAGTAGCTTAAAAAAAGGAACAGTCCAGCGCCTTCGTCTTGGTCTGCAGGCTGTATCAGAGATACAGCCGCTATATTTAAACGTAGAATACGTGGTATGGTTAAGAGCATATCCAAGTCAAAAACGAAATCACACACTAAGAAAAACCAACAAAATATCGATTATATCGATAAGTCCCGAGAATCCCTAAAATCCCGAAATAGTTCCGAGATTGAGTCTCTGTGCCTTTATCTATATCCTTTTCTCTACAACTACCTTTATTTTAATCTTTCTTCCTCTATCTTCATCTATACTTTTATCGGTATCCTCATCGGCATCTTTTTCTTTATATTTATCTTTGTTTTTATTTTTATGTTTATCATATTCTTCATATACATATTCCCCTTCACCTTTGCACTTATACATATAAGTAAAGTGTTTAAATTTACCTTGGTCTTCATGTTTGCCTTTATCTTTACTCAACTTTGTTTTTGTGTTTATTTTTACCTTGGCCTTTATCCTTTTCTTTATCTATGTACGTCCTCACCTTTACTTTTATTCTTGGATTGGACTTTTTCTAAATGTTGTTTCACTTCGAAAAGTCTTCGCGTATTATGCATACATGTGTTCTTATATGTATGTACATATATAATATGTATGTACAGACATACATAGATTACTAAAAATAGAAACAGATCCACATTAACTGCAATCAACATATGTACGTATGTATGTATTTACATATGTACACACGCTGCGATTAGGTTATAAATAGCGCGCCTCTGTTTATCAAAAGCCGCATTACATACG